ACTTCTGAGGATGAACTCTATAATGTCCGAGATGAAAAACATATTGGATGGGGTATCAGCAGATTAGACATGGCAGAAGAAAATGTTAGTAAACTTAAAGGTATAGCAATAGAACTATCCACAATGAAAGGCAGATAGAGAAAAAGGGGGGGGATCAAACCCAATGAAATGAGCATTAATAAGTTACAGGACAACTTCAGCTGGCCTAATGTATATGTGATTGGAATCCCAAAGGAGGCAGGGGCAGAAAAATATTTGAAGGAATAATATTGAAAATGTTCAACATTTAATGAAAACTACAAATCCACCAATGCAAGAAGCTCAGCAGATCCCAATAGTGGATTTGCTGGCCAATGCAGTAAGGGAAACAAATACAGAAGAAATAAAAGAAATCTTGATTGTAAGAGAAGACATAAAAATGTCTTTTTTTGAGGGCGACATGATCGTTGATGTAGAAAATGTGACATCTATTAAAAAGCTGCTAAAACTAATAAGTGGACTTAGTATTATGGGATACAAGATCAGTAGTTAAAAATCTTAAGACCCTGAGACAAAGCATCTAATTATGCTTTATTGCTAAGCTGTGGGAAAGACTCCTCTACTTGTCTTTTGTTTTGTTTTGTTTTTAATCTGCTCTGCCCCTACTCACCAAAAGGAAAGATCTATTGAATTGAGAACTCTTTTGTTAGGTGACATGTAACCAGTTGGTTTCTTCATCATCCCACTGAACTGAGTGTGACTCCCGCCTGTGTCTTCCCATAAATGGCTTAGTTCTCCAAGTTGTTTGGCTTCAGTTTTCTTGACTTGGTTTATAGTCACTCTTCTGCTTGTTACCTCTCCATTAGTCCTGTCCTCTTTGAACTGCCCAGCCCACAATAATAACAGTTATATTTGGCTCAAGTGGACTAGTCTTGCACATTTTGGCTAAAATAATTAGAATCTCTTATAGTCCTACACTGCTTAAGGCTCTAGGTCCTTTTATCTTTTTCTTAATATATTTCACTCTGGATTTTTCATTTCAGTATTTTGTTTGTAAAGAAAGCTGTAGACTGATTCCACTTTTGATTATTATTGTTTTTTAATTTCATGTAGGAAATTTATAAAAATAACATTGAAAGCCTAATGATTTATCATCACATCTCCAAAAGAAGAATCAAAGTAGTTCCAAGAAGGGTATAAATGGATTACAGGGGTTTTTGTTGTTGTAGTTGTTGTTGTTTTCCTTAACCATTTTTTTTTTCACTTTGAATATAATATTGGGCTCTAGGCCAAGATATGAAGGTTTATTATAGAACTTGGTTGTTTATTTTCATGCAAAATAGATATTTTATACCAGCATAAAAAGTTAGAGTTGTGAAGAATAGTTCTACCTGGAGTGGCATAAAATGGATGGAGGATCCCTATTCAAAGAAAAAAAAAAGCCTTAGGTCTAATTTTAATGGGCATGAAGATTCTCTCTTGGAATTGAATTATATTGCCTGACCTGAGAGGGGGAATTGCAGATGTGCCATCATTATTCAGAACCAGCATAGGTCTCTGTAGACCTGTGTCCTTAGTCATAGTATCTCACTGCTGCTGGAAGAACTGCTCCACGGTAATTTGTCTGCACCCAGGCAGTATTTTACCAGACATTTTATCAAATTTTAGTGTTTCATGTTCAGGAAAATTCATAACAGGTTAATTTATCCCAGTTTTGGAGGGACTGTTATTGCCTAGTGATTCTTTGTGGTTTACCAGGAAGCCACGATTTTTAAAAGAGAGATGATTTGGAGAGGCATTATTTGGGTTTTTCTGTGACCATGGTGAGCACCTGGTAAGTTCAGAAGCTTTTTCAGCTGAAATTATTTTGGCGGTGTCCTGTAGTGTAGACGTGGGGAATTCTAGACAAGCCACAGAAACAAACTCTTTCTTACTGAAATGGAACAGGAAGTTGTAGTATGGACATTGGGTTGCCCTTAGAATCAGTCTCCAGGCAGGCTGGAGATTGGGCAGGAACAGAATGAGGTGAGCCCGCTAGAGCCAATCAGCCCAGGAGCCAGTCCTGTGAGAGTCCTGCTGCTAGTTCACCTGGAGCCTGGATGCTGTTGTTTGCCACTGCCCCCCTGGGCCCGGGCTCTACTGCACCCAGGAACCACTGCTGTCAGATGAATGCTCCTTCAGCCCCATTCCTGTGCATCACCAGCCTCAGATCAAAAGTCCAGAGTACGTGTGGCCAGTGGTCACACATTGCCTCCTACCTGTGTCCAGGGGTCTGCCTCCACCGAGACTCAGAGTGGAAAATTCTCCGAACACAGGAAAATGCTATAGATCCCAGGTAGACAAAAAAATGTCAAATGTTCACTCCAGGCAGGGCTAGTCAAGCAGCTACTTATGGGCTGAAATAGAGCTAAAGTTGCTTGCTAGAGAAACTCTGGGCTGGTTCTTGTGGTCCATCCTGAGAGGCAATTCAGAACTGAGGTATTCTCTTACTTAGCAGGAATGGACATTTAAACCCTTGGTTTTGCTGTGATTTTGTGTTTGATTTTCTTTAATTTGCTGTTCCTGATAATGAACTAGCCCTGGAAATGTTCTGTTGGTCTAGTAGAATTCTGCCTTTATACAGTGAATACAAACATTCCCTGCTGTGTTTATTTGAAATAGGAGCAGGCATTTTCTATATTTTAGTGGCATATGGTGCTAAGATTTTATCATACTTTCTTATAAAGAGCCAGGAAGCTTTCTCTGCTTAAAAATGTGTGTTTATAAACAATAGGCTTGCAGTGAATATTCCCATCTGTTAGGTGAACATAATTTGTGTAGGAATTCCTATAATAGGTGGAGTACTTTGCAACTTTTTTGTATATTTTTTCCCTGGCGAGACATTAGACTAAAGAGATGGTGCAAAACAGCATATGCCTAATATTCAATTTTGTATCTGCTCCTCCCTGTGGTTTGAAAACACTGCTATTTTTGTGCATTAGTACATGGGATTACTATAGAAATTCATAAGAATTTAAAATCTACTTAGGATACTGCAAAAAAAAAAAGGAAAATGGAATGGATAACAATTATATAAATTTGGAAATGTTGCAATGATGAAACTGTTCATGTAGTTTTTCAAATATGTCCTCCCATAACTTGTGTTATTTTGTTTCCAAAAACTTTTTTGACTTCATTTTAACTTAATTTCAAAACTCCTCCTTATTATAATAACAGTATCTGACAGTTAAAGCTGCTCATCCTTCTAGTCTTGATTTGTAATTTAAATAAATGGCATTGACTTTTTGTGTTCGGTTTGATATTATTCTTATTATCCACACTAATTAATTTTTTGTTTGAGATGAGCCATTCCTCAGAATAGAGTAAAATTTTGAAGATTAAAACTCAGCAATAATTTTCATAAAAGATTTTATTAATCTTGTCATGGGAATACCAAGATGGTTATCAGAGGGAAAACATACTTTGATTAATATTTGCTTAGTGCTGAATTACCTATATTGTCCAAATGTTTTATTCACTTAAAAATTATGCCTTTAAGTTCCTTTCTCAGGTTGATGAACTGGACATACTTGAGTAAAAGGATGAGCAGTCAGTTGAATATAAGCGATTTCAAGCTATGTTTAGGAACTGAGCTAATAAAGCATACTGTTCATGGTGCTTTTTACCTGATTTTTTTTTTTTTTTAAAGATTTTATTTGTCAGAGAGACAGAACACAAGCAGGGGGAGAGGCAGGCAGAGGGAGAAGCAGGCTCCCCACCGAGCAAGGAGCCTGATGTGGGACTCGATCCCAGGACCGTGGGATAGTGACCTGAGCCGAAGGCAGCGGCTTAACCGACTGAGCCACCCAGGCATCCCTTTTTACCCGATTTTTAAAAGTTTCTCTGATTATCCTTTTGAGAAGTATTTTTAAATTGAAGATAACTATTAACATCTTTGTAATAAAGGATAACGTCGCTGAGTTTTCTCTTTTTTGGGAAATAGGCTACCATTCGATTTGGTGTTAGCTCTCTTTTTCTTTCTTGTGGTAGGCAACTTCCTATTTGTAAAAAGTATTCAGGACTCAGCCTTATTCTTGATTTGTTTTTGAACATGGCCTAGAAACCAATTAATGTACTCTCTTAGGTATCGTGAAAGGTTTGGGCTCTGGAGCTTTAAAACTCACTTCCAGTGGTCCTTGGTTATAAATCGTACTTGCTTATGGATTTCAAAACATCCTAAGTTATAAACTAATAGTAAACCCTAAAGCAGGGCTTTTATGGGATCTGTATCTTCTAACTACCTTTTTTTCTTCTGTAAAATGTTACTGAAGTTTTTAGAAAGGCATTGATTTGAAGGATGTGATTACTTACAGTCACAGCAGTGGAAAATACCAATGAAATCACCTTTCAGTTACCCAGAATGTTTTTAAAGTTATGTCAGGCCATATGCAGAGAAGGAAGCGAGGGAAGTGTATGAATTGTGTTGGGGGTTCTACAACAGTGAGTGCAGAGGGCATTTGTCACTGGGTCATTGCTTTCTTTGCCTCGATGTCACCTGTATCTCATCCTGAAAGTGTTGTTGGAATTTTTAGGGAGAGTAACATGACACATTATGTAAAGATTGTTGCCAGTTCTAGAAATAACTTTTAGAGATTCTAAGAGAGAGAATTGTAAACGCTTCTTGTTGAAATGTCTAGTTTAAGTGTAATGACCTGTAGCTATTTTACATTTGTCATTTTTTCAACTAGTTATGAGTGTTCTCTTTTCCATGCATGGCAGTGTGCCTGGCGCCAGGGGTAGAGTGATGAGCAAGGCAGGTCTAGAACCTAGCTTCATGTACTACTGAAAGCCTCACTGGGGAGACAGACATCGATTATGTAATCTCACAGATAAATTGCAGTTGGGGTGAGCATGTTGACAGAGAAGAATTACATAGACATTAGTTTACCAAAAATAAAATATTTGTTGAGCACTTGTGAAATGAGATGCCAGAGCTGCTCCTAGATATAGAAGCATTAACACTTCTTTTTGGTATTTGGCAGGTATATTATCCCGTCTTTACAGAGACTGGATGCTGGGTTTTACCGCTGTGTGGTGCGAAACCGGATGGGAGCTCTCTTGCAGAGAAGATCAGAAGTTCACGTCGCATGTATGTGTGCATTGGAAAAGTCTCCAATGATGAATAACAGAAACAAAATGTCTGTGGGGAATGTTGATCAGAATCACTTTTTAACCATTGTAGGAATTGAGATTCTGTCTTGGATTCTCTTTGGAATAGAGTAATTGCTAAAGGTTTTGGGAGATAACTAAATAGCCAGTGGGGCTGGTCTGATGGTGGTGACGGGGTTAATGAGGTAAATGCCAGTCCTGGCCACTCAGTAGTCAGGGCCTCCGTCAGGCCCTGTGGAAGACAGAAAACAAAATTTAACAAGATGCCTTCTCTTTTATGATTAGCTGCTCTTAGCATTTATGATACTCAGGTTCAAATGTTTTTCAAGTAAAAAATTAAACCCAGTTAGGAAAAATTTTGTCAGTTCCTAATTCTTTCCAGTGATTTGTTTAGAAATCCTTTAGCTACACAATAAAAACTAGGTGGATAGTAATGTCCTAGATGGGCTTACTGTTAGTTACTTGATGAGTTCTCTGTGGGGCAGACCCATTTCGGAGTAAAAGTAACTGGAGGAGATATCAGAACGCAGAGTTTGCCTTTGATGTCGTTTTTAGCAGGAATTGGGGAGACCAGCTGGCTGACATAAAGCACTTAATACTTTTGTAGTCCAAAATCTGTGAAGGGTCAAGTCCATCTAAAATGGCCTATCTGCTTTATTACGTTTTGAATTTACTACCAAAATGTCTCTTCATTTAAAAGAAAGCAGAAGGTGTTTATGAAGCTTTAAGTTACTAGGTTATGACAGATTTGAGAGAATTCCAGAGAGCTCTTAAATTGGGCTGTCACCCAACGATGACAGTGTTTTCTTATTTGTTTTTTTGACCATGGGTAAGGCCTATAGTTTTCAGCATTACTATATCAAACAGAATAATTGCTCATTACTCTACTATTCTTTAATTACTAGTGATTGAGTGAGGTGCTGATCCTGTACATGTTTAGTTATGTTTTTAATTAGGAAAGCTTAACTTTTCTGAATTGTGGTGAACTCACTCAGCTAAATCTTTCTGCGGAATAATTGAGAACTTCTATTCAATGGAATAATTGAAAACATAATAAATACAAAGTTCAGATCAATACCCCAAACATATTTGAATAAGTTAACAGCTTGGAATTTATTATAATATATTAAATTCTATTATGTAATATTAAATTTGGGGCTTTTTTTGGGTTAATTATTTATACCCTTGTTTCTCTCATTTATCTCTGGCTCTTAGATGTTTTCTTCTCTCTCTTTTCTCCTTCTTTTTGATAATAAGTTTCAACAAGTTTGAAAATAACCGTGACTGCTTTCCTAATCTGTTTCATTAGTTTGTTTCATCTCTTTCTTAGAGTATTAAATGCTGCTTATTACATAGGAAATAATTTTCTTTGAATAAAAAATCCATTGATAATAGGGATTTTCTGTGACTATTCCAAATGTTTATACACAGAGTGACGATCATAGTATATATACCACGTGAGTGTATACACATGTATCTGTATCTAAGCATGACGTAGACATTTTTCAGAAGTTTCAAATGTTACTAATTTAAAAATTGGCCTCTTATACCTACACTCTAATGACTGGGTTTTTTTCCGTGACGTCCATTTTTTAAAAAATGCCGTTAACCCGTAGCACAGGGACTGGCACAAAGCCTGCTTGCCCCAAATTAAAAAAAAACGAACAGCGCAATGGCGGCTGCCTGGGTGGAACTAGCCTGAGAGACTGGGGAGCCAGGGGGTAGCTGACGGTGCTCCGTTAGTCTCTGTGGTGGTGGGGTGCTTTCCCACGGTTTATTCCAATATTAAAATCAGTTGCAAACATTTCATTGTAGTGTTGCAGCGACACAAAGACCATGAAGTTCTGCTGATTAATGCATTTCATGGGCACTTTGGAGGCACACGGCTCTGCCTCATGCTTCACTTCACCGCCAGATCTGCACTCACCAGCATTACTGCTCAGTCTCTCTTGTCTTACTGCTAAAGTATAGCAACGTCGCTGACTTTGTTGTAATATATAGGTATTTCCATCTTTGGCCTTCCCCCCCGCCCCCCACAAAAAAAAGAGTTTTCTGGAACTTAAAGGGTCTGATTTTTCTCTGCAGATATGGGAAATTTCATGGATACAGACCAGAGGAAAATGGTGTCTCAAGGACATGCAGCAGTCCTCAACTTACTGCCCATCACCAGCTGCCCGAGGCCACAAGTGACTTGGTTCAGAGAAGGGCACAAGATCATTCCCAGCAACAGAATGTAAGTTGCTCCAAACTCTAAAACACAACTCATTACACTTGTTGGCACCACTGACATATTATTTAATGAATTCCACTGTGTCAGTTAAGCTTTGAAAAGAATAATAACCTGGTCTGGTAGTCCTCCCCCAGTCCTTACTAAGCAGCTTTTTGGAAGACTTGGCTTGGAAATGTTTAAGCAGTTTAAAGAAATCATCTTGTAATGTTACTCTTTGATAAGCTGCATGCGCAGAATAAAGCATCCTTACTTAGTTGTTAAGGTCCGTTTTTTCTCCTCTTGAACGTACTTTTTGAGACGTCATTGTCACCCCTGAGCTGTGTTTAGCTCCAAGGACTAATTTAAGGGGTGCTGGTATTTACTTACAGAGCTGTGGGGTTTCCCCCTTTTCACTGAGCCGTGTTTGATGCTGCTCTCTCCGACGATAAAACAGTAATGACGGCTTATTTCTCTTTACCCTTTTCCCCTGCCGTGACAGTTCTAGTCTCTCCGTCTAATTAGTGGTTCGCCCATCTACTGCAGAAGAGTTGCTTTGTGATTAGTTAAGCATTATTTCAAGGTGTTCCTGCCTTGGTATTTATCTAATGCCAAACGGATTTTTTGCATTTAGAGCTTTAAGTGATTAAAAAGAACATTGGGTATGTGTTTCATAACTGGGCATTTTGCAGTATAATTTAAAGATAATATACCAAATATAAACATTTCAGGAATGAACATTTCTGAAAAAACCATGAAATGCTTATAAGCTTGGGCTAAAAGTCAAATCCTTATGCCGTCAGATGGTTGCACTCATAGAAAAATTCATGAGAAGAAAATGCTTTTGTTTTGTTGTGTTTTTCCAAAAAGGATATATGTATATAAGATAATTTGCTAAATAGGTTTGAAATATAACTCTGAAAGTCACTGTAAGGTGTAAACTTGCTTTCTCCCCTACCTGCCCATCCATGGGGTCCCTTCTCTAAGCCAGGTATCATGACTCTTCTGCCTGGGCATCTGAACCTGCTTGGCCCCAGACTGTTCTTAACCTTATCTAACAAATGTTTCTATTCTTGTTATTGGAACAGGACAAATATTGAAGTGTATAAAGGCCATATTTAAAAATTTCAGTAAAAATACTAATTTCCATAGAAAATGGCATAACTGCTTTCCTTTTTAATTTTTTAAGAGTTGCTGGGGTGTCCACATTTATATTGATTCCAGTGACACCAAATGCCTCTCGAGGTTGGTGAAAAAGAACAGGGGTCAATTTTTCATTCTTTTAGAAGACTGTTAGGCTGAACAAAAGGCAGCTGAGGTGGACTCCTGTGAAATATTCTGGAAGGTTCTAGCATTGAGCACAGTGTGGCTGGGCCAATTGGGGATGAATGCTAGGGAAGAGTGGGTGCTAGGGAGGGTGGGTAAATTGAACTAAGCTTCCTCTCCAACATCAGAGCTTCTAATTAATGTCAATGGGAGCATAATCCGTGGGGGAAGGATTAGTTTAACTCAGCAGCAAGCAGCTGTATAGCAACTCACTTGTTGACTTGTGGTCTAGCCATATTCTCGAGGCTGCATTTATTCAAGAAGTATGAAAGGAGATAGAATGAAATAACAGCTCTTAATTGTATAAGCTTTTCTTTTTTTACTTGCAGATTCTTGCTAAAGACTGTTTAATTCCTGGTGAGCTACTAATATAAAGATGCTAAGTAGGCTTTAACTTAGTGTCCTATCAAACAAATGGTCTGTGAAGCTATTGATGAATCTCCAATCTCAGTAGAATGATATGCCGGTACTCTTTTTTTTTAAGATGAGATGAGATGAGATGAGGCTGGTTATGGATATTTCCACATTTGCAGGCCTTTTGTTTCATATTTTCCACCTCATCATCACCCCCATATTTATTAAGTACCTGCTGTGCAAGATGTCATAAATCAGTGCATGTGTGGTTTTCTTGATAAGTTTATACATCATTCAAAGATACATTGCTTTATACTTCTAAGAAACTTTGGCTTTGGATAGGAGTTGGGAGGGCATTTCTGCATGGCCCCTGCCCAGACGGTTGGCAGACAAAAGTCAGATGGCATTAGCTCTGTTCGGCACCACCAGAGGTGTCATTTAAAAACTGAAACGTTTGGCTCAAAGTGTTTCACTCATACTGAAACAGGTCAAGCTTCTATACCTGCTGTAAGCTGGTTATCTGAGGTCAGTTCCCTAACACAGCTGGGGAGATGGTCCTTAGCCACGGGGAGGAGGAGCCTCATCTCGCCAGCCGCACCTCCTTAGTATTTGTTTTTAAAGATTTTATTATTTAAGAGAGAGAGAGCACGGGGAGAGGAGCAGAGGAAGAGGGACAAGCAGACTCCGCGCTGAGTCCCGAGCCCTACGGGAGGCTTGATCTCAGTACCCTGAGATCATGACCTGAGCTGAAACTAAGGGTCAGACACGTCATGACTGAGCCACCCAGGCACCTCACCACCTCCTCCCCGCCCCCTGTGACCTTCAGAATGTGAGCTTTTGGCTCATAATTAAATGATTTTTTTTTTCATTTTCAAGGGAAACAATAATTCTAATCTTTCCTAACTTGAAAAGTTAGTTGAATAGCCTGTTCATAATTTTAACAGCAGCTGTTCTTTATTAAGTACCTACTTTAAACACATCTTCCCTGATACTCATAGTTGCGTTCCGAAGAAGTGTAATTAGTTGTGCTTCTAGAGATCAGACTGAGGATTGGAGATGTTAACCAGCCCACCCAAGGACACACAGCTGACCAGTGCTGGAGCTGGGGGTCCACCCCAGGCCTGTCTGGCTCCGAGTCTCATGCTGTCTTTTGCATCACGCTAATCCTTCTTTTCACTTTATTTTGCCAAACCTTCTTGGTGCTTTTGATTTATTTTTCCATATACTTCTTATATTCCTATTTCTCCCTTTTTAGAACACCAGCCCTCGGTTTGAAATGCTACAGGTTGCCGAGAGCCACAGGCATACACAGACGCGTGCTCCCACATGGCCCTGAGTGTGCCCGCCAGTGTGTCTTCTATCCACTGTATTGGGTCTGTGAGGCCCTAACTTCAGAAATCTTTGACAAAAGCGAAGGCAGACATGTTTTTCTGACTAAGGCATGGGCTTTATGAAATTCAGAGGCTTGGTGGGAGATGGGGTGGAAATGACGTGGGTATGGCACCTGGGGGGCGGCAAGAGGTAGAGGGCATTGCCATGTGCAGACCCAGCACCTGTCACTGGCAGCCTCTTTGTTCTTGAGCCACATGCTTATGAAGGAGGAGGCTTACGTTGTGTGGCGAAAGGAGCAGCAAAAATCCGTCACCGTCCCAGAAGAGTAGCTGAAGTGAATGTCCCCGTGGTGGACGTGAGCTGCCTCACATTCACATCAGAATGAGGCTAAATGAAAAGCCCACAAAGTTCTGACTGCAGTTTGGGCTCCCCCACTTTCACTAAGTACTTAGGGCGTCCCACATACAAGGGCACTGTTCCAGGCACCAGATATGCAGCAGGAAACGAAAGCAAGTCCTTGTCCTCGGGAAGCCTGTCTCCAGAGGGCATGCCAGCTGGTGATAGGAGTGAGGAGAGAATGAAGCAGGGGACCGAGAGGGGAATGCAGGGGTCAGGTGGGTTCCTGTTTCAGATGTGGAATCAGAGAAGGCCTCTTGATAATGCCCTCTTTGAGCAGAGGCTTGAATGAATCAGGGGAGGAGGCCTGGGGGTAAATCTGTGAGAAGAGCGTCCGAGGTAGGAGAAAGGCCCGTGTGTTGGAGGGGCAGCTAGGCTGGACCGGGGGAGACGGCTGGGGATGAGGTTCCTGAGCTGGCTGGGCCTGATTCCTAGATGCCGGTTACTTAGCCAGAGTGAGGACTTTGGCATTTGCTCTGAGGATCGGAGCAGAGCAGCAGCATGATCTCCGTTGTGATTCTTGTGTTAGGAGTTCTGTAAAGAATGGACACAGGGCAGCAGAATCCCAAATGAGGAGGCCCGTTAGGGGTTTGCTGCAGTAGTTCAGGTGACTCAGACTGAGCGGTTTGGTTTGGGGAGGGGTGGTGGCAAGTGTCAGATACTGATATATTCTGAACATGGAATGAATAGGATTTCCTGCTGGATTAGATGTGGGGTATGAGAGAAGGAGAGAAGCCATGGAAGACTCTAAGAATTTTGGCCTTTGCAACTGATAGGATGGACTTAAAATTTCCTGAACTGGAGAGATGATTTGCAGGCAAAGCAAGTTTTGTCTATATTTGGGGGGGGGGTGGATTTTGTACACGTTTGAGGTGCGTAGTAGATGGTCAAGAGGATCCAGTCATGAGATAATTATTTACATCAGACTCATGGTCAGCAAAGAGGTCTAGGCTAAACTTGGGGGTTGTTGGTGTGTTTGTGATTTTTAAAGCTCTTTACTGCTCTGTATAAAATACCTAAGTCAGTAAGTGAAGCCCAAAGAGTTCCATCATATCAGTTGAGACGCTCTTGGTCACAGAGGATGACTCTGGCTGAGCTAAAAGACCATGCACTGGAGTACTTAGAGAACTACAGAACCAAGCCAGGAGAAGGACCGGGAGAGGGTGGGTATGGGGTGGGGGTGGGCTACCGGGACTATGCTCGAGGCCGAGGAGCAGGGAGGGAGCCGGCACTTTAATGGCTTCTCAGGGATGTGAGGTCCTAACTCCTGGAACTTGTGACTGTGTCACGTAATGGGCAGAGGGGGAGGAAGGCTGCAGAAGCAGCAGGGGACTCGTAAGCTGGGAAGGTGGGACAAAGGAGGAAAGGTGAAGTCTTATTCTGGCACAGTTGTGTTCAGTGCCAGTGCCCCTGATTGGCCTGTGCCCGCCGCCGGCAATGCTCACTCTTCTTGCCTTCAGACATGAGCAGATGAGGGTCCCGACCCTCATGGCATGTGTAGGTCTTTTCCTCCAGTAGTTTCAGTGTCCTCCGGGTATTGGCCATCAAAAACATCCTTGTTCTGAGAACTCTGTCTTGCGTAGCAGATACGCCCTCCTGGAATGGCTGAGTGCTTGAAG